ATATATATATATATATATGTGTGTGTGTGCATGTATACATATAATATATATATATATATAGATATATCTGCATGCATGTGTGTGAAAGATATAAATAAATGCATGTATATACACACATACACGCTACACTTGTATCGGAGCCCTCGACCCTTCACACCCAAAATCCGATGTGAGCCTCAAACCCATAGCCATCTCTCAAAACAACCGCAAAGCCCTAAACCCTAAACCCTAAACCCCTAAACCCAGCGCGGTCCTACCGGGCTGCCTCGGAGAAGGAGGGGAGAAGGCAACAGCCCGCAAGGAGGAGCCGGCCTCTGAGAAACTTAGGGCTTAGGGTTTAGGGTTTAGGGTTTACCTAACCCTCCAGGTACCTACTATATAGGGCCTTAGGGGCTCCAGTACCCTATACAGTAGGTACCTGGGGGTTAGGGTTTACTTCGACGCGAAATTATTGTTAAAGGGTTTTGGGCTTTAGCTCAGGGCTTAAGTTCGTTCTAGGGCCTTTGGGCTTAAGGTCTTGGAGGACTGTCTCGCGAAGGCGGCCGACGACCTTGCTCTCAGAACAGCTCCAAAGGAGAATTTAGTCCAAGTTTGATCTTGTGAGCCGTCTGAGGCTATAGGTTGTANNGATGCCCTGCACCTGTTTTGATGGTCGTTCAAATTCTCGGGGTCTTTGCCATCGTTTGAAGGAAAACCAATGAAAAAGGCACTGCAGATTGCAGCTGAGAATGCATACGAATGCCGGAACTCGTAAATGTGACCCACGACCTGTTGCACAATCCCTTGCTCCTGCTAGTTGTAGTAGGGTCAAGCCCACAAAGGTGAAAACTTAGCTACATGATATGGGGGCCTTAACAATCAGAGTAAGGGTTCGAGTCTACACTATACTATACCAAGAAAGCAACTATAAGGGACTACTCCTAGTAATTTTCCCAACCCCTATGTACTCAGGGACTCGGATGCTCTAAACTCTGCCCATGCATCCATGTTGCAAAGGGTCGTACGTACCTAAATGGGGCGCGTACTTACTCAAACCATACTACTACTGTTGATGGACAAAATCCTGCATGACCCAAATATAGTATAGTACCATAAATCCCATAGATTAGGTATATAAAGTCATGCAGGATTTTGTCCATCAACCGTATGTCTTACTATAGAAGCCCTTCCTTCGATTAGGCACCTAAGATCCTGTGGCTGGGGCTGCAGAACGCAGGCTTCTAGCAGCAACCGTCAGGATGTGTCGGGCGTACTCAGTGTGGGGCTTCGTGGTTGCCGGAACCTTCTTGTGCAAAAGGGTGATTGGGGTGGGCTGCGAACTTCAGAGTGGAAGACTTTTGTGATTTTTCGGGTGGGTTGTTTTGAACTGAAACGCTGCATCAAATTCTCTACGTGGCTCGACATCAAGCCCTCGTCACCCTAAACCCCTACCCATATGCCCTAACATAGTTCCTTTTTGGGGTTCATATATAGAATCCTATAAGGTAACCCCAAAAAGGAACTACTATGGGGCCTATGGGTAGCCACCATACCGGCCCATACCTCGTTCCTATCCTCTCTTTGACTTACTTGTCGGGTAGCATGGGGAACTAAAGGTTAAACTTTGGGGTTATATAGGGGTTATATAGGGATTGTACTACCCCAAAAAGGTTAAAGGTTACCTACCCTACTACTAGGTTGAGCAGGAGCACCGGAGCAAGCTCTCCGACAGAAGGCCATGGCTCGTTGCGAGTTTCTGTCTCAGGGATCCTGTAGACCCTACCTGTAGCCCGAAAAGACCTACCTTTTTAGGGTTCCTTAATATAGTTTCTTTATAGAAGTCCTCAAAAAAGGTAGGTTCTTTGGGGTTAAGGTAGGCATAGCCGGATCCTGAACCCTAAACTCTAAACCCTAGTCTTTCTTATGAGGGTCACCGTACTTATGGGATGCCCCTGCTTCCCTCTCTGTACTCGAACCTTCGCTTTGATTCTCCGGGAAAAGGGCTCCAGGACTATGGGTATGTTTTGTGCGTTCAGGATTACGGGCTGTCAGGCGTTAACCCTAAACCTCGTAAACCTTCTGGTTTAGGGTTTGCGCGGCCTTTCTTGGAGTTTGAATGTGGAGTTTCGGCGTTTGTAGGCCTTTGGCTGGGAGAAGTCGGTCTTCGAAGGGCCACAAACAGCTTGAGGTGCAAACACGTTATGTAAATATTCGATACTCTAGATGCTGTACATTCCGAACTATGCTTCTATGTTCTTTATGGAATATGTTCAGCGGTCTGGGGACGACTGCCCCAAACCCGCAAGTTTCTCCACCGGACTTGAAGCCAAGTGATGGCTGCCTGAACGAGTACAACCCCGGTTGTGAGACCTCCTCCAGTGTAGGCTACATCTGAGTCGAGCTTGTACGCGAAACCTGCAGACATCAGTAGCTTCAACCTTTCAACTCTTGTGGACAATAGGCATCACTGCAATTACTCAAAGTCGCTGAAAGGTAAAGCTTCCCTTAACCGCGAACCCTAAACGAACTGTCCTACAGCAAAATTTCCACATGTTATCCTTAAACTCCTAAGCCTCAAATTCTGAGCCCAAACTCCTAAAGCTCCGAAAGTCCTACACGGACACTTCAGGGACGGAGGCCCTGAATCCAAGGTCCCAAAACCAAAACCAAAAGCCTAAGCACCAAACCCCTTAACCCTAAGACCTAAGCCCCTAAAAACCCCAACAAACCTTCAGCGTTTCAGCGCTCCCAGGTAGGCAAAGCCAAGCGAGGATTCGAGTCTAGGGTTGCGGGGTTTGGGATTTAGGGTTTAGGGGTTCAGGGTTTTGGGGTTTTGGGGTTTCGGGTTTAGGGTGTAGGGGGGTTTGGGTTTAGGGGCTTTGGGTTTTGGAGTTTAGGGTTTGGGAGCTTAGGAGTTTAGGAGTTCAAGGGGTTAGGGTGTGAGGTTTCGTGCCTAGGGCCTGGGTCTGGATCCTGACTTTATGGGGCTGTTATAAGGGCACCGGTGCGTCTTGGGGCATAGGGTTTAGGTTCAGGGGTCTGGGGTTTAGGAGTTTAGGGTTTAGGTATGGGGCAGCATCTCCAAAGTCGCCACAGCATCTGGCATGGGCAACGGGAGGACTTTTCGCACTTGGACCACAGCAGACCGACCACGGGCAAACGCGGTTCTGAATACTGATGGTTGGAGATCGCGTTGGATCAAGTCAGGGGGGGACTTGAAACCATTGGTGTAAAGGTCGGCTTCGGAACCTAGGATTGGACTTCGGGTAATCCAGAAAATATAGACCTTGTATTGACAAATAAAAGCTCAAAGCGATGGGCTTCAGATTCAGAACATAGCTGGCATCTGCACGTAGTGCCAACCCGTGGGAAAACAACCTCGTTTTGAGGATGTCGGTATCTTTGGTGCGGTGGCAGCTGTACAGTCGAGTGCTTAGCACGGATGGACCATGAACATCCAACCAAATCGTGGCAACCCGACAGGAACTCATAATAGATGATAATCCAAGCAACCTGGTAACCTGGTACATGCTAGGTTGCACATGCCCTGTGCCGCGCTTTTCATGGCATGCTTCAGCATGCTGACGAAGGATACCCCGAAATACCGTTGATTCATGGGTACCTTATGTAAGCCTTAAAGCCAGTAGCATACATCCTTTCTTCAAAATGGAAAAGAACAAGCATCCGTTCAAACACGCCGCGCTCTTCAGGCCATGTACAACTCCTAAAGACCTGTCAAACTCTCTTAGGCCACTTACAGCACTAACCAAAGATAACATCCCTAAACCGTCTGCATCGGATCGTGATTGGAATGACCACTAAAGGCCCCTCGCTTGAAAAAGGAAAACCTCAACCGCAATATAGTGGCCCTAGCAATTGCATGAGCTTCGGGGGTATAATTTACTATACAAATAACGACGAACCCCAGGGAAACATAGTTCAAAGTATTCAAGCTTCTATGGCTCCCGCGGGTCTTGCGAGCTGCAAACGAGAAGTCGGTTCAGGGCACGGCCCGGAGCCACAGCGGCCGCGTTTGCCGGCCTTCACTCGCTGGTAGCTGTTATCTCTTGGGCTTTAGGCTTTAGGGTTTTGGGCTCATCTCCCTCTCTCTCTCTCTCCCCTCCCCGTCTCTCTCTCTCTCTCTCTCTCCACCGCCGGGGTTCAGGGTTCAGGCTGAAGCTTAGACTCTCGCAGCTCGGGCATTACTCTTATTGATTCTTGTTAACTCGTGAACTGAACAGTAATCGTATAACTGGCTCCTAATTAACTATTTGAAGCACGTTGCTACCTGAAAATCCATTCCCGAAACACGTTTGAAAACCTCACGCCCTTGGCCAAAGACCTGTTGTGCCAAAGCGCATGCCTTCACCTTTGCTGTCTTCCCCTGGGTCTTATCGACAGCGAGGCGTCAACGCTCTCAGTTCATGTGCATTTGGGCCGCAAGATTAGTATCGACCCTTTTTCAGTGGAGAAGTGGCTTTGCCTTTCGACGCCGGGTGTCAGCTCGGGATTCGATTGGAATGTCTTGTGCCGTCACCTGCCGGCCCCTTGATCACTGCCACAAGGGCTATGGGAAGTCGCAGAAGCGACATTCTCTTTGAGCCCCAGAACCTTGTACAGTCGCACTTGCGTTTTTAAAATACCCAAAGATCATTGCCGCTGACGCACGAGACTAAGGTTATGCAGGAAGTGATTGTGGGCACTTTGAGGGACTAGGTAGCTCTTCAGAAGCAACTGCAGCAAGCATGCCTCCACCACTGTCGAAGTCGCTTCTACACGAGACACATTAAGCGTACCCTAAACCCTTAACCCAAACCCTTGAAGCATGGAGCCGAAACTCATAAAGCTGAAGGTTCACCAGACTTGCTGAGGTTGAGGCTGGGGTATCCTCAGGGGGAATTCTTGCACAAACCCGGAAGGGCGGTAGATGTAATGTAGGGGCCTTGATCATTGGGTTGGACTATGACAAGGACCCCAAAACAGTGCATGTAATTACTTAATTAGACCCCTACTTTCTAGGGCACCGATATGTATCCGGCACCTAAGCAGAAAGACACTACACAAAACTCCTGATCCCTTCTCCACATTGACACGGCTTTGAGTGCAAGGAGCCTCCAGCAATACTTGCCGCTGGGTTCGGAATGCCACGCCTTCACTACGCTTGTGTCTAGGTATCAATATCCACGTCGGGCCTGGAACTTCATCAACAACGTAGAGGCCCCGCAAACCATATTCTAATGATTAAGGCCCCTGTGTTGCATGGATAAGAAGCTTTGGCCAAGTCGAGCGCTCCAGTCTTGAACTTTCGGGAGCGATGCAACAGCACCATGATGGATAATATGGTTTTGGGGCCCATTATACTATACTTGACAATCAGCAATAGTATTGGTAACTATTTTGAGCAATTCGGCAACACATCTCAAGTTGCAATGAGCATTTATACTCTCTGGGAGCTACATGAACGATCTGTCGATATTTCGCTTCTGCACACCAAAGCTCTGTGTGTGGATGGCACACGCAACATAACTTTCTCAGTACAGCATGGTGCCTTGCATGTTCCTACTGGCTTCGGCAAGCAGTATGCAACAGCAGCTACAAATGACGATTAGGGCAAGAGGCTAGATGCCCTGATACACCAGACACTCCTCCGATCAGCTGGGAGGGCCCCAGACCCTAAACCCCGGAACCCTGCAAGCCATGATGATTCAAGGTACAAGATCGGAGGCTGCAGTGTCACACGTGGCGGCCACTGCATCAGACCAGGGGACGAAACGCACCAGGAAAGCTCGCCTTAGACTTTGAGATTCAAGTGTGCTTTGGAATGTAGCACTTCGGGTACAACTACGACGACGCCGGCAAAAACGGTAGTAGCAGTATACTTCTACAGTAGCACCGCGAACCCATGCTCCCTCAAGCCTACGCCCTCTTCCTGCATCCAGCCCGCTGCTGCATGCGCCCGAACGGGACCCAGCGGAGGTTCACAGCAAGATGCTCGAGCCTTTTCCATGAACCCTACATCGTAAGTCGGAGGCCCACAAACTCCAAACTCCAAATCTTCCCTGAACCCTGCATCCTATACAGGCGCGCTTGTAGAAACCCTTGAGCGGAATCCTAAATCCCTCTCGGGAACCCCGAACTCCCACATGTCTCACAGTTGGAACCTCTGAGATCTGCGCCTTCAGAACTGGAACTAATAGGGCTTTTTAATGGGCCTTGAAGAATGAGAACAGACTTCGCGGAGTATGTCAAAGTATGCTCATATTTGGTCCGGAAGGGGGTATTCATCATTCATACCTCTTTAATTCGGCCCTGAGCCCCCAGCTTTGACTCAAATGTTAACATTGTCGTACCCATGTAAATAGTAACACAATATGCATGTAGAAGGTCCCTATGAAACCATGAAGCCCTGTAAACACTACAACAAGACCATTCAAAAGCCCAAAAGGCCTCGGCTCAGTGCCCAGACAACAAGTCGGAATACGGTTTTGTGGCATCTTCTCATATAAGACTACAATAGCTCTACGTAGGGTCGACAGGGGATAGAGCAATAGTTGTTCAGAACCCAAAACCCTAAACCCTGTATGTCTTATTTAAAAGGGAGCCCGGAATCGGCCCGCGCCTCCGATAGGGACTGGAGTTTGGCATCGACCGATGGGGTGTCAGTGGATGGTGCACCTCACAAGGGCACTGATGGCTTCGTGTATATGTGTGTATGTGTGTATATGTGTACTTTTTGTATG